AAGGGTACTTTGGATGAGATCTTTATTGTACATGGCCCCTGGCTCCACCTGCTCAAGAACCCATCATTCCTTCTCAGCAGAGCCCAGTGAGAAGGAACTACTCCCCATCCCCTTCTCACCCTGTTCAACTCCCAACCCTTTTAACCTGTGTTGTTTGGGGTTTTTTTTTCCCCCTCGGGTTATCTGAGAAAGCACAAGCAGCCATCAAAGGAACTACTCCCCATCCACTTCTCACGATGTTCAACTCCCAACCCTTTTAACCTGGGTTGTTTGGGTTTTTTTTTTCCCCTTGGGTTATCTGAGAAAGCACAAGCAGCCATCACAGGGCAATTCACCCCAGCGACGAGGTGGTATGAAATGGCAGGAGACTGGCTGGAGTATGATTTCTAACCAGGTAAAGAGAAGATAATACTCTCACCAGAGCTAGACAAGCTGGTCAATAATCTTAGTTTCATACCCTACTTTGATCCTTCAAATTCTTGCACCTGCACTGTCCATCCAAGCAGCAATACAAGCTGTTTCCATCAGTGTCCCTGGAAGAACTCTGTCACACCAGCTGGGATACTACTCAGAGTGGAAGCCCTCCAAGAGCAGAATGTGCAGCAGGAACTTTTCAAGGTGTTAGTTCTGCAAGGAAAAGAGGAATTTGGGCTGGGAGTGAAGTTATAAAACTGTGCAGTTAACTACTCCAGCAGGATATGTTATCTTCCCTTCTGGACCTGGAGAATTAGGTACTACGAAGGAGCTGCCAGCCTTCGTATCTCTGATAGATGGTTTGAACTCAATCTACAGCTAGAGATCTATTCATTATACAACACTCTTGGAGAGCTAAAATTTATCTGCGGGCCCCATGACCAAGTCAAATGATGATGTCCCATGTGGAAACCATATTGAAACACTGGAATAACTTACTGCATCCAACCTGCACTTTGTCAAGCACTTGAGGATGCTCCGAGATGAAAGACACTGCACAGCTATTGGGAAGAATTAGCTAATGCTGGCTAACAGCCTAGATATCATCTCCAAAGAGCCAGAAATAAAATCCACCTTAACTTGACACTCCATTATATTCTCCTTTATTTCTTAAATGTTAGGAGAGTTATACAACAATGATAACTGGTAAAAGTTCAGTAACGATAATAATGAAAATTAATTCTGTTACAACAAAGAAAAAAAACAAGCTTTATGGAACAAGTCCTCCTCTCAGTCTTGAGATGAAGCAGAGTATGAACAGAGCTGAAAAGAGGGGGCTCTCATTCTCGTCTCAGTTTTAACCCCTTTTAAGGCCACTGCCATACACCCTTCCCATGTTCCATAACAGGGGCTTACAGTCCATACATTACCCTAAAAGAGATTTTCAGTTCTCTGCCCTCATTGAGCTAGAGTACTCACGGAGAAGTAATTTGTATAAAAATATTAGGGAATTATTATTATTATTTTAACTAACTGAACATAAAATACACGTATCAGGAAACTGAGACGACTACAATGAGGCAAAGCCTGCCAAGATCCTGCAAAGTCACAGGTAAAGAAGCCGATCAAAGTGCAGCATTCTGTTACTACGGTGAGAGCATTACTTTGAATAACTCAGGCAAAGCACATTTACCAAAGTGCTACCCATTAAAAATGTGTTTCTCCATGAGAGGCAAATTACTGTCCCGTAT